CAAAAAAAAAAAAAAAAAAAACAGAACAAAACAAAAAAAATAAATAAATAATGAAAAAGGCTTCTCCATCTGGTCCATTTCTCCTTTCTATCCCATTCTTACACGGGATAAAAACACATCTTAAAAATATAATTTTATCTTGGCTGTCTTGAAAGTCATATAGTCTTAGTATATGTGCTGCCAAAGCAAGAACGAAAGTCATATAGTTTTTTTTTTGTGTGTTTTTTTTTTTGGTACCGGGGATTGAACTCGGGTCCTTGTGCTTGCAAGGCAGGCCACGAAACCGCTGAGCTAAATCCCCGGCCCCAAAAGTCATATAGTTTTATTCTCACTCTATATTTGACTTTTTTTGTTTGTCTTAAGAAAATACAAATCAGTTTTCTATCCCTAAAAATTAAAATGAACCTAAGTCAACTTCCCTCCAAACAAATTATTATTTAATACCTGATGATCAATTCACCATTTTTAGACTACCACTTCAGTAACAAACCTAAATAATTTAATAAAATCTGTTTTTCCCCTCTCCACACACCCTGGAATTTTGAACTGTGAGAAACATTAACCAATATTTAATCTACCTCTTCATTTTACAAATAAATCTTTTCATTCCCTACTGTCACAGCAGAGGCCACATCTTTAATATCAATTTTGGTCTTTATTCTCCCTCCTTAATCAAAGCTCAGGTAACATTCAGGCCCTGGCTCTGACATCATCCCACCTAGACTTCCTGCGTGCACTCTTCCAGTCCACACAAGTGCATATTTGACATAGACATCAGCTCTATCTACTCAGAAGTTCAGCCACTGATGGCTGTGGGTTCTAGCTACATGTGATTTACTGCCTCCGCTGTTTTTATTTTTGTTGTTGTTATTGTTTTTGGTACCAGGGATAGAACTGAGGTCCTTGTGCTTACAAGGCAGGCAGTGAGACCACTGAGCTAAAACTCCAGCCCCACTATTTTTCTCTTCAATTGCTTTCTATAATGCCTCTGAAAACTGAAAATGATCAACAGTAGAATGCAGGACTATTTCAGAGTCCAAAACTAGAGTACTGATAATCACTTGCAATTGTGCCTTGATACAAACTTTTACAGCCCATTCTTAATGACCTAGAGATGAGTTAGTTAGTAGGGTAGAGATAATATCACTACCCCACTAGGGACCAGATAAAAGGATAAAAGAAAATAGAAATAAGCCAGTTCTGGACCAGGGATTTAGCTCAGTGGTGTCGCCGCCTGCCTCACAGGCGCAAGGATCCAAGTTCAATTCCCTGTACCAAAAAAAAAAAAAAAA